ATATTTTATGAGAACAAAAATTCCAGTTTTGTGTGACTATAAGAGTAGATAGGTCCTATGGGCACCTTAGTTGAGTATTATGTTTTTCAATTATTAAAGTTACAAATTTTTTTCATTTATTCTAAATTTTGAGTGTCCTACAAATAAAAATCAAATATCTTGGTACTATTCAGTACATATGTTTACTATAATAATATTTTGTATCTTTTGGCAAAATAAGATACATGCTATTTGAGACCTTAAAATTATGTTTGACAATTCAAAATATCTTTGATACTGCCCAACCATAACCTTGTTGATGGATTATTATGMATTGTAATTATTACTAATTAGACTGTATGTACAATGATAATGTGTTTAGAAAAGACAAACTGCCCTGCATTTGGCGTCTGCCCATGGTTTTAAGCATGTAGTCGACGTTTTGTTAGAAAGAGGTATAGACGTGTGTACTAAAGACTTAAATGGAAACACTCCGCTGCATATGGCCGCTAGAAATAATAATGTTTCTGTTATTAAAAGTCTATTGTTCCGACAGCCTCAAGTTGCCTGCGAACAAAACTATGTAATAATGATAATTGATTTGCAAATGTTAGACATCATAACTTAAAACTTACACTTTTGTATATGTTTATAGAATGGAGATACACCTATGCATATAGCATGCCGTTATGGTTACTTAGAATGTGTGATAAAATTAATGGAACACAGTGTTACAGCAGACATTGTTAATGTTAATCTAGATACACCATTGCTGGTTGCCATAAAAGAAAAACACGAAGATGTTGCAATATATTTACTTCATAATGCACCCGGAAATTTAGAAACTTTCGATAATGTAAATTCATGTTTTGACTATATTTAGAAAAGATAAATGAACATACATTTTTACATTAGGAAGGTAATGCTCCTATTCATGCTGCTGTTCAAGAGGGTTTGTTAAATGTTGTAGAAGCAATAATAAATATGGGTTATAGTTTTGAGTTCCCTAATGATAAAGGACTATATCCATTGCACATAGCTACCAGACATGGACATGTTGAAATTGTTAGGTAAACATTCTACTTCTACTACTTCTGTGGCAATATTAATAAATATTATTTGATTCAAACGAACATTTAAATTGTTATAGGTATTTATGCATTGCAGGAAGTGACCCTCAGCAACGTAGTGCAGACAATATTAAACCTGAAATAACTGCTATAAAAAATAATCAAAAAGAAATTGTATCAATATTTACCAAATTGAACACTGTTAGCTTACATATTTAAATTTTATTTTATTTTTKTTGAACATTTTTACAATTTTTAGTTTTTTCTTTTATTACTACAGAATAGTGCTAGAGAAAATTATATTCAACAGTTACTAATTAGCAATGAATACATACAAAACACAAATTTATTGTTTTTTGGACATTCCAATGCTGGAAAGTCATCAATTATACGGTTGATGAAATTAGGTCTGTTTTCAATGCTTCTTGACAAATCACGAAATACTTTAAGAACAATTAATACCAACAGTAAGTGCATATCCAATTAATTTTAATTTTTTGACAACATGCTCACAGACATTTTAAACAGGAACTAATACRTCTCAGGGTCAGTGCAATAATGGAAATGAAATGAGTCTTACAGAATATAATACTACAAATACTTCAAATTATTCTAAACACAATGGTACTAAGGGTATAGCAGTTCAAAAGGTTTAAAACAAAACATGTTCACTACTTTTTTTTATCAAACCATCAAGCAATATTATAGTAATGTTAATATATTTTTAGGAAAAATTATCAGGTATTAACGAATGCACATTTTGGGACTTCTCTGGAGAAGATACATACTATAATTCTTATCATCATGTAATCCAGAATACACCAAACAAAGTAGTTGTTATTGTTTATAATGAACAACAGTCTTCTACTGAAATTTTGAAAACTGTGCGTTATTGGCTTAGTTTCGTTCAAGCAAGACTTCAAATCTCTGAACCAATAAGTTTGTAATATAAGAAATATTCTTTCTAATCATACTAAAACCAGTACATTATCTTTTCTAGGTAAGAATGGTATTTCAAATAATTTAGTGCCTGTGATAATTGTTGCTACACACAATGGTCAGAGGATATGTCGTCAATCTGACCAATTAATTAAAACTATGAAAGACGAGTATGGACATGTATTTCAAATATACGAACAATTAGTACTTTTTGATATAATGGTAGTTGATTCATTAAGTGTGAAAAACTTTAAAGAGGCGATTAGTATAAGTAAAAAACGACTTCATTTTGTAAGTATTCCTAATTATTTCAATGTTGATAAATGCAAAAAATATAGAATAATGTATAACATTTTACATAATATTATTTTGCACACCATAATAAATAAAACAAAATGGTTAAATTCAAATTTTCTATCAGGGATACTATCGAGGTGATATCATTTGCGGTGCAAACAGTAATGGCAGGTTAAATAAGCTGTCATTCTTCACTCGTGGTGGTTATAAATTACTTGATGACCCTCCTAGGGAAAACTATTATAACACTAAGTCTTCAGTTACACAAATTGAGGTTTACATTACATTTAATAGTGCACAGCTTATTTTTTCAATTTTTTGATTATTAATGGTGTGCACTTCTTGGAATTTCACTATGTGCAATCAAATTTTAATAGTGCACATATATATGTGGTATATAAATACACATTTTTTTGTATTTTATTATTTTAGGGATTTCACTATAATTTATTATTTTGAGTTGTTATATTGGTGTTCTCAAAATKATACTTAATCTTTTCATTATTATTTGTTTTAACCATGTGTATTAAAAATGTTATTATTTCTTTATTTAATTTAACAATTTCAGAATATTCCACGAATGAGTGGTTTTTGTGAAGCTGTACAGAACTTTTTACCTAAATTAAGAAAAATTGCAAATCCATTTCCTGTATTGTCTTGGAAAACATTCTGTGATACTGTTCATCTTGAAGTAAATCCTTTGGCTACTATTCAACATTTAAATATATTACTTATCCAGCTACAAAACCTTGGTGAAGTATGTTAATTGACTCAATGTAAATTAGAATTTAAATATTAAAATGGTTGCTTATTATTTTTCAAAGGTATTATTCTTAAAGTCTGGTTTACAACCAGATTTGATTGTTATATCTCCGAATTGGTTTGGATCAAGTATAATTGGTACATTATTTTCAGTAGACTTTTTGATCAGTCAGACACGTATGTCTGGTTCATATCAAGCAAATGATTTTCAGATCATGTTTCCTCATTATGATGCCATGTCAGTACTTCAACTATTAGAAACAATGAAAATATGTGTCCAAGTATGTTAAATTATTATTTAATATGAATATTTTTAATGAAATATTATAACTATAGTTGCTACTATCTAATTTTCATCTTGTACCTTTTTATCTTAAAACTTTTAATTTATTATTTTAGTATGATAATGATGGGGACATTGAATACGAATTTCCAGCATATGTCATAAGAGAAAAAGATGAAACATTGTGGAAACCTTGGGGTAGTAATGTTGTTGACTGCTGTTATGGTGGTATTCGGCTTATTTCTCAACCGCAGTTTCTTGAACTTTTAACTTCAATTTTTATTAGAGTACAGGTATTTAAAAATTGATATTTTATTCCTAATTTTATAAAATTTATTCTGTTTCCATATTCATTTTGAATGTCCAAATATTAATTTCAGGTTGAATTACGTTACTTGCAAAACAATTATTATGAAGACATGGACAGTTACCTATATCAATGGTACGGTGGTGCTGTGTTATGTATAAGCAATATAGAGTGCATGGTATCCCTAGAGCAAGATGGATGTATTGAAATAAAAATTCGGGGTTCTAAATCATCAAGTTATACCTGTTTTTATTTTCTAGAAGAAATATTGCATTCCATTAATCTAGTAAAAATATTTTATTTTTATACAGGCAATGTAGATTTACATTTGTAATAACAAAATTAAAAAAAGTAAATTTTAAATATGAACTCTAGGTTTTGATTGAAACATGTCCAGGAATGAAAGTAATTAAAGAATTTCTCAGTCCCTCAAATTTATCTGAACATTACATACAGCCTCATGGTTATGGTGTTGATGATATATTTTATTCAGTACGAAAAACTTCTGATTTTAAATCATTTGTTGTTAATCCGTTAACTGGAGAAAAAGAATGTGTATTAGACTTAATCGCATTTGGATGTGACCAGGTAAATATTTATTTAATAGATAATATGTCAAATCATCAGTTTATTCTTGCATATTGATATGTAATATTATCTGATCAAGGTGGAAAACATGTTATCTTGTACGGATAGTTTACCACTAACTGAATTGAATACCATGTGTCGCCAAGAATTAAGTCGTCTTGTTGATCCAGTACATCCATTAGGAAGAGATTGGGCATTATTTGCTCTCAACATTGGATTGGATTCAAAAGTTCAACTATTTGATAATGGACCAACTAGTCCTTTTCTAGCTCTAATAGATACATGGACAACAGTTCAACCTGCACCAACAATAGGTGAAATTTAACAAAAACTAACTATTTACTAAATACATGTTAAAAAAAACATTTAATAATTACCTTTTCAGGTACATTGATTGATCAATTAAATGAATTGGGACGCGAAGAAGTAGCTTTGGTTGTATTGCAGAGTATACAATGTTTTAGAATAAAAGTCATGGATATAAATAACTGTCCAGTAACATTAAACAAGTTATAAAAATATATTTAAAATAATTTAATGTTATTCAATTTTGGCTGCATTAATTAATCATAGAGTTTTTAAATTATTATTTCTAGTCAATTAAATTGAAAGATAAAAATGTGTGAATTTATACAAAAGCAATTATTTTTCCTATAGGTTATTTAGCCACTTTGTATTGTATAGAAAAGTTTATGTTATTACACTATTACACATAATTTTTCAACATATTTATGATTTAATTTATATTTCTAACAATGTGTAATATGAATTTATTTTTAAAATGCACTAGTGTAGTGCAATAACTAATTTTAGTATTTTTTACACTTAATTGATTTAATAATAAACATTGGACTGTGAAGAGGAAACTATGTGTTAATTGTATTGATTAGCTTGAAGGTTTATTCTAATAGTTGTAGTTCTTCACTGTAAATTAATTAAATTTCATTAACTAGATGATTTCCAATTGGGAAATGATAATTCTTCATCTAGATCTCTTTGATACCTTGGGACATATGGAAATCCATGTTCACCACAAGAATCATAATTGTCAAAGAATTGTAAATCCAAAAAACTATCTGGATAGTTTGGTAAAAAATATACCCAACAATCCATAATATCTGCATTTGGTAATTTAACTCGAGTCTTTTGTCGTTTATAAAAATTTGGATGATTTTCAAAATCGTCCAAATATTCCAACATTTTTGTGTCAACGTCATATATTTCACCTCTAATTTCCTAAAACCACACGTGACATCTTTAGTTAAGTATTAAATGTTATTTCAAAATTTATAATATTGTATAATAATCACTTACATGCCCAGTGCCTTCATTTTGTAACAAAAATGGTATATTATATTTAGTAGAAATTACTAAGGGATATTTATTGACTGTGACAGCGACTGACCTAAATACTGCACAGCCATTTTTAGTATCATTGAGATGGTAATTATTAGGCTGATTTTGTTTTAATGTTCCATAAACAAAAACTGGTTCCATTTTATACTGAAATAAATTTAGTATAGTACAGAACAAAATATTTACTTGAAACAAATAAATAGCTGAAAGCAAACTTTATTCAATGTGTAAGAAGAGACCAGGGTGACAACCGGTTTTGATCAGTGCACAGATTGCACACAGCTGTTTCCTCTACTCAATCAACTACCAGTAGTCAATCCAGAATAAATATGATGCCACACCCATATGCACAAGTCAGCTGTTCAGGTAATTTCTTATGTTGAATAAAATGTAGATAAATCTAAATTAACAAATTAAAATGCATAATTCTATATCAATGAATTCATTACAACACAACTAATGTTAACAATAGTTGTCAATAAACAATAATCATATATGTATATACAACAACTAAAACTGAAAAAATTAGGTCATATCAGATATTAGGGTTGAATAGTTGCAATGTTAGAAATTCAAATTAGTTTTAATTGGTCAATTATACTTGTGGTCCATAAAAATTATGTAAAATTTGAAGAAAACATTCTTTTATATTGATCATATATTTTACTAATCATTTTCCAAATAAATCGATATTATATTATAATATTGTTAATTTATTATTATATTAATGTTTTACATTTCAGTAATTGTTACACTTTTAATGTTAACTACTCAGTTTTTGACTAATGAACAATATATTATACATGAATATATGAATTAAATAATAATTTGAATAAAAAAATCRAGTAAATATGAGTGAATAAAAACGTTCTGGTTGTTTATTATAAAACACAATTATATGTTTAATTAATATTTTAAAATTAAATCATAAATTTTATTCAATACATTGTAAACAAAAGATAATCAATTGTTTTTTTTTAAATACTACAATAAGCCTTGTCGTTTGAGATCTTCATATGTTTTCTTAGTGACTACATTTCCTTGAGAATCTTCAAATTCTTCCTCATTCTCTGGTTGCCACCGCTCATCGTGTTTCATTGTTTTAAGTTTTTCCCAAAGTGCAAGTGCATCTTCAATTTGTGTGACATTAGCAAAATGTGCAGTATTTGGTATACCTAAACATCTCATTCCATGTGCATGTCTCCATTCAGCAAAATGTCGCTGAAACGCCTTGGGACCTTTATATGTAAAATTACCACAAATCTCACAGTTATAGCTAATATTTAATCCATGTAACTTATATAGCCAATACGGAATCGGCTTTCCATCCCAACCAAGAGGTAAATTTTTTGGATTATAAGGAATATCTTCTCCTTGTTCATCATCTGACTCTGATGCACTAGCTTCATTTTCAGAATCATCACGTTCTCCTTCAGTTCGAGCTTGTCTTCTTTGAACATTCTCTTTAGTTGCTAATCTCTGTTCAGCTAGGAGTTCGCAGAACCTGTATACTTGTGCCTCAAGCATTGCTAATTCTTTTTGCCTTTCTTGTTCTTTAGTACGGTTCATTTTTCCTGGCTTACCTTTGGCTAACAAAGAGGGATCCAATGAAGTTTTCCCTTTGGTTGAAAATAATCGTTGAGCTCTTTCTTCCAGAGTTCCACCACATTTCAATCCTAATGCCATCAAAGCCGATTTCAAACGATCGAGTCCAAGAGAGGCTAATTCTTCCCAAGAAGAAAAAGCATACAAATCTAAGTGAGCGCCAACATTAGCTAAAGCACTACTTGTGTCTTTTGGCCAACCTGGAAAAGTACCTTCTTCCCATTGATTTATAAACTCAATTCGAACAGTATCCATTTCGTTGTCAATATCATGTAAAGGTTTTATTCGTAAATAATAACCATGCAAGTATTCCAATAAAATATCTACATATTTTCTATATTCTGAATTTTTACGATCTTTGGGAATATCAAATAAATGATCAAATATAGACAGGTAAGTAATGTAATCAACTTTTTCAACTCCTTTTAAATTCACATACCTTTCATAGCATTCATGTAAATCCAAATATCTTCCATAGCCTTCTTCGTCTGTAAAATCTACCATGTTGGTCATTTCCTCTGAAGGATTCTCACGGAGGTTATTCAAATCTTCAAACTCAATAGACAATGGCACTGATATTTCATTTGGATGTTTTTTATGGAATTCTTTAATAGCTTTTAAACGAAAATAAAATTCGGCAAACTCATTTGGACCTGTGATGGATGTAATTTCCTCTTTGCGTAAACCATCTTTGTCTTCATACAATTCTTTTAGTTTATTAGTTCCTTCCATAAATTGATCGAGCAACAATTTTTGTCTATGTTCGGAATTAATGACGTCTCTGGTCGTAGATTTTTTCCACAGCATCTCTCTAACCATAGCATCAACTAATCGTTCTCGTTCTTCGTGGTAACGACGTTGCTGTTCTATTAAAGTATCCATTTCACTTCTAATGAAATAACAATGAAATCCAAATAGTTAAAATTATTTAAGAACACGTATATAAAATAACTACAAAAATAATACTCACAGTCTCGCGAATGTTTAATAACACCGAAATCTGAATCCAAAACTCTGTCACTGTAGTAGTGTAGTCGCGAAAAAAAGTAAATAGTAAATACTTGACGTAAATATTGTATCATGCATCAGTAAGTTGATCATACTTCCGAGTTTCGCGTCTCTTGATCGACTAGGTTATCATATTAATATCATGGCATAAATGCCAAACTTCAAAATCAATGTGATACGATAATTATTTTCCGGAAAACGTTATGAAAACCACTGCAACCCTGGATGAAATAATTGACGTGTACTCAATTATTTGGGTTTACACAATGATAGTTTTGTGTAATATATTTATTACCATTGAACAATATTAAGACATTAATGAATAATGATTAATGCAATCATACTAGGGCAGGTATAGCACGACAGTTTGCAATATAACCATTAAATCTTATTTAATTTATCATGGATATAACTTTACTTTCATGAATGCTCTTAACTATATTATCCTCTCACTCTCCTAATTTATATTTCTGATCCTGATTAATGGTTGCTGGAAGTTGAGGAATGTACAATCCATTTTATTTATGTCTGGACACTAATGCCTAATTGTCCTGTCTTAAATTATGGGGTCAAGGGAATCTAGTTGGATCTGGATGATTATCTATATGGGTAACCATATTTTACCGTGCTACGGTAAAATAACGATAATATTGTTATCTATTTTTATATTTACAACTCTTAAATATGGCCACACTGACTGATAATAGTTAAAGTCTTATCTGTATTCACGTATTAAAATTTAGGAATTACTATTACTATTAAAATGGGGCAAAAAAAAAAATGTATCAACTAAATTATTATAAATTATAATTATTAATTTGTATACGTAGTTGTAGTAATTTAGTCATATTTTATTGTGCCTCTTGTATTTGCATTTTTATTATCTAATACATTGTGAAGTGCTTATTTTCTTGAATTACCTATTCTTTTTATTCATTTGTAGTGTATTGTAATTTTGAATAAAGTGTTGAGTTGTAGTTTTCATAATTTATAATTCAATATGTTTTTAAAATTTCTAATTAAATCAAGTTGACATATATTAAAATATCATCATGATAAAGACATTAGGTTTAATTTCCCTAGTGGCATTTGCCACTGCTCATGACCAACCTTTTTCTGGTTCGTTCATGAGCAAAGAAGAGAAACTTAGTCTGATGGAAAAAGCAAAAGAAATGTTCTATCATGCATACACAAATTACATGGAACATGCATATCCTGCTGATGAGCTTATGCCATTAAGTTGTAAAGGTCGATGGAGAACAAAAGAGAATAACCGCGGTGACATGGATGATGTACTGGGCAACTATTCTTTAACTTTAATAGATACTATGGATACACTGGTTGTCCTTGGTGATTTGCCAGAGTTTGATCGCGCTGTTTCAAAAGTGGTAACAAGCGTGACATTTGATAGAGATGTTGTTGTATCAGTATTTGAAATAAATATTAGAGTTTTGGGGTGAGCGTAAAAATGTTTCATTTTTTTCATTTTATACTTATAACAATTATAATTAGGTACATTAATTTGTTACTCCATTGTAAATAAAATAAAACTACGAGGTTTTATTGTATTTTATTATATTTTAATTGTTAATATTTGATTATTGTTATTTTTAAACTTTAGAGGTTTATTGTCTGGACACATTTTTGCACAGCACTTCAAAGAAAATTCTAATCATTTGCAATGGTATAATGGAGAACTATTAACCATGGCCAAAGATTTAGGGTATAGATTAATGCCAGCTTTTAACACAACAACAGGAATACCATATTCCAGAGTAAGAACTTAAATAATTTAGTACTTCTCTAACTTAAACTCTATCCATTACTTAAGTCGTTAGTTAAATAAATGTATTCTTTATATTCTGTAGGTAAATTTAAAATATGGTATCAAAAGAGATCAACTTCATTATTTTCAAGAAACATGTACAGCTTGTGCAGGAAGTATGATTTTAGAATTGGCAGCTTTATCACGTTTATCTGGTATACCCATATTTGAGGTAAAAATATATTATATTTAAAAAACTAAAAAAATCACTGTAGTGGTTGAAAATATTGCTGATAATGTTATTCTTTTAACAGGAAAAAGCTCACAGGTCAATGGATAGTTTGTGGAGTCTGAGACATCGGTCTTCCAATCTTATGGGAACCGTTTTAAATGTTGATTCGGGTGATTGGATTCGAAGAGATTCTGGAGTTGGAGCTGGTATTGATTCATACTATGAATATTGCTTAAAAGCTTATGTTTTACTTGGAGAGAGCCGTTACTTATCCAGATTTAATAAGGTAATAAGCAATTTATTTATACAATATTCATATAACTTTTAATACACAATTATATATAAATTTAATTATTTAGCATTATGCTGCTATTATGAAGTATATAAGTCAAGGCCCTATGTTATTGGATGTTCATATGCATCGACCTCAAATAAATTCTAAAAATTTTATGGATGCATTGTTAGCTTTTTGGCCTGGCTTACAAGTACTTAGTGGGGATCTAAAACCAGCAATCGAAACACATGAAATGCTATATCAAGTAGTACAGAAACATAACTTTATACCAGAAGCATTTACAACTGATTTTCAGGTATTTTTGATCTTCAATTTTGACATTTTAGTATTCATTTATATTTGAATGATGGGAATTTTTAGGTACACTGGGGACAACATCCTTTGAGACCTGAATTTTTAGAATCAACATACTTTTTATACAAAGCAACTGGCGATCCTCACTATTTAAATGTTGGTCGTCAAGTCCTAAATTCTTTGCAAAAATATGCAAGAGTAGAGTGTGGATTTGCTGCTGTTAAGGATGTTCGAACCACTGCAAATGAAGACACGTAATAATAATTTATTTCTATGCTAAATATCTGAAAAAAGTGATTCTGTTTTAGGTAAAAATATTAACTTACTTTATGAAATAGTTAATTTTTAAAATTATCATCCTTATATATTATGAATAAATTATATTTATACAATATTAAATTATAGAATGGATTCGTTTGTGCTAGCTGAAACATTTAAGTATCTTTACTTATTGTTTGCTGAATCTGAAGATCTCATAATCAATATTGATGAATATTTATTCACAACTGAAGGTCATTTATTACCTTTATATTTATCTGTTCAACCACAAAATTATACAGATGCTGATAAGGTAATATTTGAATTTCTTCTGTAGAATCTATTTTTAAAGATCATAATAATTTATATAAGTGTATTGCTTAAAGATTTTAGATGAAGATAATGATCTACCTAAAAGATCATGTCCAAGTTTTGACAATTTACTCACAGAATCTATTAGAAAACCATTAAAAAATATGGTTGATGGACTATGTCCTAATCGTAAATCAAGAATAGAAGCTAGAGAGTTTGCAAAAAATTTTCAAGTAATTTTTTTTTAATTAGAAGTAAATTTTTTAAAATAAATATTTATTTGTCCCATTTTATTATAAATGATGACAGTTTGGCAATGAGAATCATATGCAGAGAATAAAAGCTATGGGAATTGTGGTAACTAAGCTTCCAAATGGCCTTCCTCTTCTTTTTATGAATTCTTCTCATGTAAATATTTACTTTTATTTTAATTTATTAGTTTATAGTATCATGATAAATCATTATTTATACTATTTTAGGAAAGCAATCCAGATGATCAAATAGATGGACATGAATTTTTAACTGAACTAAATATTATTATGAAAGATGTTAACCAAAAAGAAAAAATTAACTCTGCTAAGTCTGTGTCATTTGATAACCAAGATGGACAAAAAATGTCATTGTATGCCGGTGCAGCTAATTTTGGCCTCCCTTTGAATCTTGGTCTTAAGGTTTGTCAAAATATTTATATGATCATTTTGTATTTCGTGTTCTTTAGTTATTAATAATTTTTAATTTTATTAAGGTTGAAGCTCGTATTGCTATTGCAAATCCTGTTAAAGGGTGTGAAACTTTATTAAATCCAAGTGTTGTTAAAGACAAAATTGTTTTGGTTGAACGTGGTGACTGCATGTTTATCGAAAAGGTAAGTTTAATAACTTATATTTATTTTATATTTTTAAATTCTTCTGTGTAGTAGGTATATGAGTGTACCTTATTCATGAATAAGTCACTATTACAGATATATTGAATTCCAATGATAAATGTTTCTTTTAGGAAAAACTTATGAAATTCTGTGTTCTGAATTTTCAAATCTTAGGTATGAAAATTCAAAATGTAATAAAATCTAAAAAATAATTTTGGATTGTATATTTTTAAGAAGACCCACTCTAGTGTAATAATCCAAACACAAATTTACCTAACCTTTAATATTTGAAAGAATATTATAATATCAAACACAAAAGTGAGAATATTATTTAGAGTTTCTCAAAGGCTTTTAATTATATTTAAATTTTAAAATGAATTATAAGCATTTTAAAGTTGTAGTATTTTACATACATACCTATACCAATTTAAAATCTATTAATAAGAGCATATGAGGAGTCCTACATCAGTGGATATCAACCTTTTTTCAATCCTAATTACTTAAGTAAAAATATAATAACTTTACATGTTTGGCCATGTAAATAAATGATTAACATTCAATATTATAATTTGGCTATTTTAAAACTATTATAGTTTATAATTGTATTTATTTTTTAGGCACGGAAATTACAAGAAGCAGGTGCAGTAGGTGGTATTGTAATAGACAATGCTACAGATTCATCTGTAATAACATCTCGAGCATTCTCTATGTCAGATGATGGAATAGATGATGTTAGTATACCACTGGTATTTTTATTTGCTTCTGAAGCTCGACCATTACTGGATATGCTCAATACCAATCCAGATCTTCTTGTTACAATCAGTGAGCTTCCTAAAGGTATTTATTTTATTTCAAATATGTATTTTATTAGTTACTATTAAAACATACATATTTTAGAAACTGAAGCAGAAATAGATTCTGTTGAAGATACTGGAACTATGATCAATAACTCAATAGATAAACTAAAGAAAATTATAGGAGATATAATGACATCAAATGATCCTACACAGGTACAACTAAACTTCATGCTATTAGCATTTGTATTAGAATTTTTATTTTCTATTACTTTACTCTTGTGTAGGCACAGGATAGGTCGTTGATTTATTTTAGATTTATATTTT